AACTTTTGGCCAAAAACTATTTGTCCGCGAATTTTGTACAATGGCGCTTACGCGCGGTAAGTCTATCTGACGCCGTCAGCCGGCGTTACGTTTGCTAGCATATTACGTCGTCAGATGTATAAATCCACCTTTAAAGGACATTTTATAATAACTTACCTGCGTAGGTCCAATAATATCTCAAACCAGGAGACGTGGATATAACTGATCCTTCAGCAAATACTCGGTTTGTAAATATCAGGCACGATTTATCGCCCTTGTTGTAACCAAATGTTTTACACACAGGCGAGGATTGTATACATATTTCAGCACACAAAGTCACGGATCGAGAAAATGTTGATCGTGATGGAACAGAGACCAAAATATCTGATAATGCAATTCTACGCCACAGTTTTACTATGTCGGATGCACGTGAAAACTGCACGTGAACATATATAATAACCACCAAGTTCAAATACCTAAAGAACCCCATATTGTTCACACTCATATACTCAAAATAAATATTCGTAATCATTCAGTGTTAAATCCTCTCTGCCTTCCTTCTTATATCCTCAACTGCCCGTCAGTCTGTACTAATTGTTTACCGCTGCTATAGTTCCGTTGTCGTCTCTGGTCTAGTGTTTCGTTTTTGCCTACCTTCTTCTATCCTATAGCCATGTAAAATATAGTGCTTCTGTCGGATAACCCTTGTCCGATTGACTTAACACCAGGTATCTGTTCCTATAACCATTCAGTTGGATAACCTAAATGGTCTTTTGGTTTTTATCCTAGTCTTGTTGCCATATATTCTACTGTCTTACGCCCCAAATTTCCTATTTCATGTTCCAATAGTTTTCATAGAAAGATATCAGGTTTTACATTTTGGTTTGATTCTTGGTGCAAACACTGGATCTGTAAATTCTATGCAGTCCAGAGATTAATACGGGAGAAGCAATGCCGGGATGTTTCGTTTCTAAAACACATTAGCATTTATATAAATAAAACATTTATCACCTTTCACCAGATACGTTACTAACTTCCACGAAAAACTTCTGAAATACGCTTGTTATTTCTGAGACAATGTGATCAATATTATTCATCGTGGGACTCCAGTATATGACAACAAAATAGGATTTAATAATGCGTAAATGTTAGACATGCTACAACAGTAATAAACATAAGTCATTGCCCAGTAGTATTCACCAAGGAGTTAGGACAAGACAAAGGTTACTTTATTTCTTTAAATTTTAATATCATTTCTATTGTTGCAAACTTGTAATACCTACACAGTAGAACAAGTTAGTATACCAGGCAAGGTAACAAAGGGCCTAAGCTCACTGGCAGGCGGCAAAAATACAATTACAATTCTCAAGAGCTTCATAATAAATTCGTTGTTTAAAAACATTTAATGTATAAATATCTCATATAATCTTTAAATGATATTTAGAAGTAGACGTAATATTATAGAATACGAACACTATATATTATGGATATATATGATCCCTTCATTTTATTTTAGCTACGTTTCAATACAGGAATCTATATCAAGAATAAATAATGATAGTTTTCTTATTTTCTTATATTTATATCTCAACAAATTACCTATATCGAATTTAAACGAGATAAAATGAATCAAGCACTAACGATCCGAACCGCACGAAACCCGAAATCCAAACAACATAATATCAAAGCATTGCCAGCAACTAATGGACTTTCACTTCAAAGAGTATATCACTCATATGTGAGGAAGTAATTCAAAATGAAAAGTTGTTTCAGGTGTCTCGAAGAGGAAGCATACACTGCCTGGCGCACTAGTGGATTTTGGACTTGTTGGCACGTAGGCAAACGTACGGTAGAGGGCCTAATTTCTCATTTTATTAGTGTAGTCTGTTATTAATCTAGGGAATATGAATATCGAACGGTATTTAAATAAAATATCGACTAGTAATCACGAAAAAAAATCACACGATAACGTGCAAACGGTAGGTTTGTAGGTAAAAAGTATACAATAAGAGTAAAGTAGCTAAGTTTCGGAACTAATCCCTTTATCAGGCGGAACAAAATAAAAATAGAAGAATAGAAGAACAGTACTAATCTGACAAGAAATGACACATTCAACTACGTAAGATGAACAAATATATATTTTTAAGAATGACAAAGAAATGGATGAAAGAGTAAGAGTAGACAAATTTAAATATGAAAACTGTTCATCCCTGCAGGTGCTAAGGTTGTGAGACCTTTATAATAATGTAAATAAGGAAGATTAATCTGTTTTATGTGAAGAAATTTCTCATCGGCCTGGCCGAATTTGCGATGGGCCTGCGGAATTTATTACCTGTTTGATAATTTTTACTGTTACAAAATTTGTCATGATCCGAACTTTCGACGGGCCGAAAGGCAGCTGCCTAGTTTGCCTATAGGTTAATCCGCCTCTGGCCTGGCGCCACAACCGTTATCATTACTCAACATACACTACAAATAAGAGAGTACCAAAAAAAAAAATAGCTACTTGACTGTTGAATTTTAAGGGACGTAACTGTGCTATTTCTATATCACTCTACTATTGATGTATTGAGTACTATTTTAACAGTGGTATTTCTATATCACTCTACAATTGATGTATTGAGCACTATTTTAACAGTGGTATTTCTATATCACTCTACAATTGATGTATTGAGCCCATTTTAACAGTGGTATTTCTATATCACTCTACAATTGATGTATTGAGCACTATTTTAACAGTGGTATTTCTATACCGCTCTACTATTGATGTATTGAGTACTATTTTAACAGTGATATTTCTATATCACTCTACTATTGATGTATTGAGTACTATTTTAACAGTGATATTTCTATATCACTCTACTATTGATGTATTATTTCTATATCTCCCTAAAGTTGATGTATTGAGTACTATTTTAACAGTGAAAATATGTTATTATTGTAAGATGTATATAAATAAAATAAGAAAATAATTAATTCTTAGAACTAAATATAATATATAATAATAAACATTATGTCGCCACAAACTATTCCACAAAGACGATGCCAATTTTTACAAAGTAATGCACCTTTCAATCAATACAGGATATCGAAAATATATCCCGAAAAAGTTTCCTCTTGATTACATCTTACTATGAACTGATTAAAATTCAATCAATTTATGAGTCTTATTCTTTAACTATATAAATATCTCATTCCTATGCAACTAGCAAAAAGCAGATTTACACGAAAAACCACCAACCAACGTTAAAATAAGCCGATGCTTTAAGAGGCGACACAAATAAAATTAAATGTTTTGAGCATTTTCAATTATTCGGATACCAATGATCATTATTAGGTATGAAGACTCTATGAGGGAAGCTGAATTTATATAACATTTTTAAGAAGCTTTTTAGAAAATATGCTTCTATCAGAACAATTCTCATAATACAACAAATTAGAGCATACAAGTCCATGAGAACACCAAAAGCTGGAGATCGGGGAATCTTATTGCAATCAAAAGGAAAGAAGACAACAATTAGTAAATTAAAGTTTAAAAGTGAGACAGATAGTTTATAGCGACTGTCATGTTCAAAAGGCTTTTTTATTCATTATTTATTTATTATTTTTTAGTCTTATTATTCACTGATAATACGTCATTATTATTCTTGAAAGTGATCTAAGTTTAATATCTTCATTAATTGCAAACTCTTATAAAATCGCTAGTCCCAAGTCACTAATAAAATAGTCCGCTGTTAGGCTCTTTGTACTGAAGAAAGGTTGTTACCCATGGAGATTGGATCAAATGTTACTTAGTTTGTACTTGAATACACGTTAGGAATAAATATTAAGTCGTGTATAATCAGAATTTACTTGATATGTTTTATACCATGTATATTTTGTTTACCACAAACTGAGTGGTAAACACAAATAAATTAATATTTAATGTTTCCCAGTCGACAAATTTAGTTCCAAATGTAAATACATACTTGTATTATGGTATTTTATTGGTATATTGGATATTCACTAATAACGAAAAAAACAGTGATGATGCGTCTTTTAATAGTATCCTAGATAATGCATCATTGATTAATATCAATTAATTATAGTTGAGGTAAAACTTGTTTTTCAAACAATGTCTCTTGTGGTTTTCATACTAGAAAGAAGAATAAATACGGAATGACTTAAAGAGTTTTCATTTTCAAAAACGTCGTAAATTATACCTGAAAAGTATGCTATTTATATCTATGAATCTTCCTAATCAAACTGAATTTGTGTTAAAGTTTTCATATTTACGACCTACGAAAAACCGAAAGTAATATATTGCATTATGTGCAAAAACTTGGTTTGGGGGCCGTAGAGCTTATTTGTGGACCAATATATATATTTTTTATATATACCCTTTGTAACAAATAGAATGCAATAGAAAAATTCTGAAATTTGGAGAATTTTTATTGAGAAAAAACATTGCATGAAAAATTTTGAAATTTTCTACTTAGGCGCTAATTATCGGATTGATTTGAAAACCATTTATCCCAAATTTGACTACAACAATCAAATATAAGTTTAATATAAACTTTAAACACAGAACGTTGAGATTGTTATAAGAAAGATTTTATTTTTTTCTAAGCTGGTAAAGTTTACTACTTATAACTTTTTTGATATGATTTATATGATCTTTCAAGTCCATGTTACAACACCCAAAAGTTGAAATTTTGAGACATTTTCAATTGTGGAATCATTAATTTAAATATTTAGCTCATCGATATTTATACGAGATCTTCGTTGTTTAGTAGTTATAAGCATGCATTTATATTTGTTTTTATTGATTATCATTGAATTATTTGTACACCAATTGACTATTTCGATACTATCATGTTGAAGATTCGTTTGAACTTGCGTTAAACATGAATTACATGAATAGACAGTCGTATAATCGGCGAATAAATCACAGTGAGATTTCAAATAAAGTGGGAGATGATTAATGAACATATTGAAAAGAATAGGTCCTAAAATAGATCACTGGGGAATTCCATCTGATATCACACACTGTGGAGATAATGTACCATTAACATAACACCTCTGTTGCCTTTAACATAGGAAAGAAAGTCTGTAAAATTTCCAGTCGGTTTATAACTCTTTGGTTTGTCCAATAACAAAGAATGGTTCACTAAATCAAAAGCTTTTTTAAAGTCAATAAATATCAAACCACATAATTCATTATGAATCAAGGATCTATAGATGTTTTCGGATATATTTCTTATGGCTGTTAAACATGAATATCCCGACTTATAAGCATAAACTAAATCATTATTAAATATGAACTAAGATAAGGAGATATATGTTTTTCTAAGGGTTTATAATATTGAAATATTCCTGATATGGAATTTGGTGCAATATTACAAAGTTCTGCTTCGTTAACTTTAGATTTTACAAAATCATTTAAAATATCACTCTTATATTGGATGTCACTTTGGTCCTCTATTAGATTATTGTCCACATTTGAGAAAAAATTATTCATTATTACTCTGGATATTGGAAGATCGTTAAAATGGGAGGTCAAGGTGGGCTACCAGGCAACCTCCCCCTATAGCAAACACCACTGAATCTGAGAAAGAACTTGCAATGGCATAGCGTTCCTGTATTCTCATTTTAAACGGAACTAGTCATAGTGGGGGTGAGGGGGATCCGCCCCCTGGAAAATGTTTTAATGTGGAAACCCGGATAATACATGTAACGCGATTTAAAAATTGAAAGTAGAATGAATACATGGGGTGGAGGAGGTGCATGGCCCAACATTTCCGCCCAAATACGCCACTGAGCACACGTACTTAAAACGACTGCAAGCATGAAGCGGTAACTGGGAGGATCATATCACCTGAATGATCTAGTCGACCTGAGTGCACCTTTACCAGGAAAGTTGCGGTTGGCACAAACATGTCCCCAGAATATCACCACCGCCGCCTGAAACCAAGAGAAGGAAAAGATTTGGAGTTATTTCACGTACGCACAATTTCAAGAATCAAATCATACAGGATTACGTAAGATTAAGGGCCCTAAAGAGAAAGTGACCTTTACTTATTTTGAATCAACAATCAAGCTTTTATCATGCATGGAATATGTTGTATTAGCCTATTAGTGGCATTTAGCATCATAAATTAAATGCATATCTTCTTTAAATGTTCCTTTTCGAAAAAGAGCTGTCCTGGCAAAATTTCCCTCATTGCACCCTGCATGGCGTTGCCCGTCTTCATTAGCCCACATGGTACAGAAAAGTAAGACGTAAAACTCCATTCATTTCATTTCATTTATATGTTCCTTTATTGAAGCTGAATATATTGTATTCTACAAGTGTGTTCTGCATGAAATATGCATAAAATTATGTAGTTAATACTAAATAGCACATTGATTAATTTGCATAGCAGTTGAAAACATCAGTCACTTTTTTTCAACTAGTGAATCTACTGGTTTACAAGCCCCCTCACTGAATAATTCTAAGAAACGCCACTGTTCAGATTCTGTTAGTCACAAGTCAACCTTGAGCCCTTCCTCACTTTTGAAGTATTTTTTGTAATAATTTCCGTAAGTTTTTTAAATCAATCGTGCATACCACTTTTAGACATGAATAATGTGGCGCAATACTAACGTTATGAAGATATTTCGGTTCTCAAAATTTGTTTTGTTCTTGTGATATTCAAAATAGTTTTACACGTCATTCTTTAACTTATTGTATTCAATATTTTAAAACAAATTAGTTCTCCAGTTCTAATTTAAAATAATGAACAATGAACAATTAACTTTTCAACATTTATAACACATTTCCTGTTTACATGACCAGTGTGCTGTGTACAATGCATTCTTTACTTTCATGGCAGCTAAGGGATGAACGAAAGAAGGTTGAATTTTGAGATTTAACACTGGAAAAAGATGACAAATGAATTACTGATCCAGTCCTGTATACACTACACTACACTGATTCAACGTTCTATTTTCAGTTGAC